ATTTTCTAGGCAAATCTTTTCCTTATAAAACATTTTCTTTCCACCCAATTTCCACCATTGCAATCAAACGCACCCTAACTAGTTTCTTTATTGACAAATCAACAGTAAGCGAAAATTGGGTATTGCCATGAGGGCACGCATTTATGACATGCAGAAAAGGAATCCACAGAATATCTGCTGTTATGGAGAGGAGTAAGGTGTCAAAAAGCACGAACCTTTGGCTGCGTCATAGCCCAAATTGAGATCATCTTGTTCCAATAGCTTGCCAAGAACAAGAGCACCATCACCACCAGCATTTGAGACTATAGTGAAAGTAGGTGCCTGTTACAAAATCAAATGTCGTGATGACAAATGACCAAATGCCCATGTCCTGTGAGCGTGTATTCTTGCATGCGCTTGAGATAGAGAGATTGCATAAGAACAAACCTTAAGAGCATTTTCGACTATTTGAACTCCTCTTTTTTGGTCTTCATTTTCAGTTTCAAGGTGTTCCAGAACTCTTGTGGCATACAAGAGAGCAACACCACCCCCTGAAAAAATGTTACCATGTGCTTGTTTGGATAAAATTATAAGTTACTGAAATTATAATGTGATATGAATGAGTGATGGATAAGTGGGTAGTAATTGAGGGTCCTAGAAATGTGAGATTAAAATAAATGTTTGATTTTGACCATTAAATAATAAGGAAATTATGATGTTGCCCAAACATGCACAATAAATGTGCTGATGAAACATGCTAAAAGAAACGCTTCAATTTTAAAAACAAATGAAGACTTTACCTGGGACAATGCCCTCTTCCACAGCAGCCCTTGTAGCATTCAAAGCATCTGTTACCCTATCTTTCCTTTCTCCAACCTCGGCCTCACTGCCCCCTCCAACCTGAGAAAGAAATGCGGAATTACAACAATAGCACCAGGCACAATCCTGCATTTTTGAATTCTGTGGATTTACTACTGATATACCTTGAAAACTGCAACACCGCCTGAAAGCTTTGACAACCTTTCTTGAGCTTTCTCCTTATCAAACAAAGCAGTACTCTTCTCCATGGTTGTTCTTAGCTATTTAAATATACTAAAACCTATCAGTATCTTACTTATTCGATCAAAACTATTTCACATCCTTCAATCAAAATCTAAGCGAGAAATATCATAAGCAAACCAACAATCCTTTCACTTCCAGATATGACCCAAGAAATACTATCTGAACTCATCAGAATATATGGTCTGTGAGGACAATACAGTATGATGAAATGCTTGCTGGCATTTTAATAGGCTTGAAAGAAGATGGGAAAGAATATTCTATAGCATCACAAAGAGTTTTTTCAAGAAAATAGACATTTCCAATTATTTTCTTAATTGAAACGTGTCGAGTACAAAGACAAGGGACAAGTTGGGTATCAAAGAGGGAGAGGGGACACACTTCATGGTGCCACTCATTGGGCAAAGGGAGCAGAGAATATGAAAACAAACTTAATTACTTAGTGAATAAATTTTAATATGCATTATGTTCCTTGTGCATTTCATTAACATAAGCATTTGTGAAGAACAAAAGTGCATTAGAAACCGTTGAACATGAAAACATGTAAGATTACAATATAAATAAAAGCTAATGATATCATTATTAGATTTTCACAATCTTCGGGGAAAAGTCGTTATACCTGTTCACACCTTTCTTCAATTAGCTTCTTATCCCCACCCCCATGTAAAATTATAGTGTCATCAAGAGAAACAGTGACCTGTTCCAACAAATCATAGATGTCTTGAAAATGTTTTGGGCAACAAAAATACAATGTCGATGAGTGTAGTAATAATACAAACCTTTTTAGCCGAACCAAGCATATTAATACTAACTTTGTCAAGACTTAAGCCATGATCTTCACTTATAACCTGCATAAATCACCATCAGTTGCTGCTAAAAGAAAGCAGCATTAGCAATGTAAATTATAGGAGCTCATCTAACCTCTCCACCAGTAAGAATGGCAAGATCCTCTAAATTTCCTCTTCTGTTATCCCCAAATCCAGGAGCTTTGACCGCACAAACCTACAATGCCCCATGAAATAGAATGTAAACTCTAAGATAAAGGTGACAGGTGTTGTTGTCACTTTGGTAGCAGCACATCCAACAGAAACCATAAAGTTCTATCATAGCTTCCTGTACAAAGATAAGAATGTACTCTATGAATCATAAATGGCTCATAAATTATCCAAATACACAAACAATTACCTTTAGTCCTGCACGATGCTTGTTGATTATAAGCATAGTCAGTGCCTCACTTTCCACATCTTCAGACACAATTAGCAAAGGACTTCTTCTCTATTTTTTTGTAAAAACCAAATCATGAGAACAAATCATCAATCACAAACTTATTTTTTAAGTATCTAGCAAATTATAGGAAGACAAAAATGAGAACCCAGGCATTAAAAAATCCCAGTTTAATGAAATTCATTACCTTTACAGCCATCTCCAATACTCTCACAAGGGAGTTTATGTCCGAGATTTTCTTGTCGTGAATTAGGATCAAGGGATTTTCCAGTTCCTGTCTACATAAAATCAAAAAAATCACACATAATAGATCCTAAATCAACAGAGCCATACAATTAAGAGGAGCTTCATATCAAATGAACATTATGATTTACATGACTGCATGAGAAAGAAAAGCAGGAGGTCCAAATGCAAAAGCATAAAACTTATAATTCAATCTTATAAATATCTATATTATTTATTACATCCATTCATTTATTCTTTTTAGTGATACCCTAGTAGTAAAATAGTTAGGGAATGAGATTCATGTTTTTTTTAAAAAAATAAATTCATATTGTGTATTCGGATTCTTAGATTTGACAGCTACTTGAAGTAGCCAATTATAGGAGTACAAGTTCATCATCATTAGCCACTATCTATGCATACACATTTCTGAGTCTTCTCGTCTGTAACAAAATAAGGAGAAATATAACCACGGGCTAGCTTCATCCCTTCCACCACTTCCAACTCATCATCCAGAGTATTTCCATCCTGCATCATTGCAGATCACTTACACTCCATCATGCATAATAGATCATTACAAATCAAAAGTTCCAAACTGCAGCATACTTACAACAATAGTAATGATTCCTTCCTTCCCGACTTTCTCCATTGCCCGTGCTATCAGATCCCCAATTTCTCGTTCACCATTTGCAGAGATAGTGGCTACCTAGAATTTGGATACACGAATTAGAGCAAAAAATAAAATGAAAGAACAGTGGAACAAGAATGGTGCACCAAAGGCAAAAAAGATCAGAAAGAATTTCAAGCATGCATTTCTCGGCTTGATGGAATAAGTCTCGGAAAATGTGAAAACCAGGTTTATATTGGACGAGGTTGAAAGGCTGAAAGTGAAAGGAACATACAGGCAAGCACGTTCTTTTTCAGTTTTACCAATACTTTTTATGTGCCAACAACAGATTATGCACAAACCTCGTTTTCTTCAAACATAAAAGCAAGGTTTCAAATCCCGTGGTCATTTCTCTAGCAAATTCATTCAACAGAGCTAAAAAACTTCTTCCTGAGTCACTCACCTGTGTAATCTCTTCAGGTGTACTAATCATAACTGCTCTGCTCTTCAGATCTGCAATAACAGCATCAATGGCCATATTTATACCACTGCGCACGTCCATTACATTCAGCCCCGCAGCCACTGATTTACAACCTTCTGCAAATATTGCCTGAGTCAGCACGGTAGCACAAGTCGTACCTGCAGCAACATCACATTCTGGGTGAGTCTCTTATCATCAGACAACAGTGCAGTGAATGATAAAAGAATTCTACTCTAAAGGCATGCATATTAAACAATAAAACCCCCTTTATATTATCGACATTCAAATCTTCCAACAAAACACGAATAAAGAGTACAAAAAGAGAATTGATGCCATATATAACTACTTCAGGCATAATCAAGGAATAAGCTAGAAGCAAACATACAGAGGGCTTAGATGAAGATCTACCCATAATATTAGAAATTAAAACTTCAATAAAAAGCTTTTATACTTCAAAGATAGAATAAGTTGAGGTCAAATGTGACAGCAAAGCCATTTCAAGCAGATACACTTCATAAATAATAATTAGAATAAAATCATTCAAACTAAAGTATTTTGCCCCTACGGAAACAACTGCTTTCAGTCATCAATGCATTTGCTTCTTTTCCAAAAACTGTGAAAAACAATAAATAAATAAAAACACTCCAATTCTGTTCAAATATTGCTTGTTGAAATCCAGCTAAAGAGTTCTAATAGAATTGAAGGCTTTAAGCCAATATATTACCATCACCAGCAACCTTATTAGTTGCACTCGCAACCTGCTTCACAAGATCTGCACCAATATTTTTTGCCTTATCGATGAAATTGATGCTTTTGGCTACGGTTACACCATCCTTGGTGACCTTGGGGTTCCCATGGCTTTGCTCAATAATGACATTGCGGCCCTGTGACAATAGAGAAAAAGAAGAAGAATCATTTAGCCTCAAACCCTTTATCATTTAAGTATCTCAGGCTACTAATAATTCCAAAAGGGATTAAATGATTAACTTCTATCTGACATCAAAATTGATATTTTTAATGACGAATACAAATTTTTGAATCTTCATGGAATCTTTCTACTACTGAGCTTAGGTTCCTAGAAGATCAAGTGTTGTTACAATCACAATGATCCTTGCTTAAAAGAAAAAAAAAGTACTCAAAACTCCAAGGTCCAGACTTTTGTAAGGGTCCGGTTCCTGCAATATCACAAACTGAAATATACGAAACATCACAAGTGAAAATGACCGCTACACAAATGAGTGATGACATCAACAACGACAAGCTAAGTCTTATTCGCATTAAGCTTGGGGTTGGAGCATGAATCAATTATCACCGACGTAGTCATTCCACAATAAGGAGGAGGTTGTAAGAGATTTATAGCAACGTAAATTTTGTCATATCTATGACAAGAATCCTTCATAACAAGATAGAGACAAATACATAAAATGGCAGTCAATACAAAATCCAGAACAAGAAACGTAAAACTTTGTCATGTCTATGACAAGAACCCTTAATCCTTCATAGCAAGATAGAGACGAATACACAAAATGGCAGTCAATACAAATGAAGAACAAGTCACTTGGAGACTCAAAAGAAGTTTAGAAACTTAAAATCTATTTACCTAATTACATATATAGATAGCATCCACCATTTAATTGGGTCCCCATGTACAATTACAAATATCAAAACAGCTGAAAATCTTTGAAGTTAATGTTCACTAATAGTTTCTTGCAGAGTTTTCTTATTTTCTTCAAATTAGAGTTTTTTTGTGCATTCTAATATTAATAGGAGTATCAGAATGGAGAGTTGTATACGCATAGTTACCTTTGGTCCCATTGTCACCTTTACAGCTTCGGCAAGTTCACTAACACCGGATAGCATTGCAGCCCGAGCCCCAATCCCAAAATTGATATCTTTAGCAGCATAATTTCTGCTAGATACAACCCGACTGCGTACCTGTACGTTCAAATTCATTTCACCAAAAACAAAAACATAAAGCACCCTCTATATCCCATAAAATCAACTATCTGTAGCAGAAAACATACAATCAAAACTAATTTCAGTAACAATAACAAAGACTGATTTTCAAACTTCTTACCAGATTCCTGGAAGCAGAGGACCTGCAAAAAAATGAAAACAGAAGTGAAATACATTTAGAAAAAATCGTGCCTTTATGTCTTCACATGTTACGTGTGTATACGCTGTCTCGGCTTGTGTGTACCTGAGGGATGAAGCAACGGCTGCAACCGCTCGGTACATTTCCAAAATAGAGTAATTCAGAGGAGAAAATACCGATAAAAAGCTGAAACGGTTGAAACTAGAGACGAGATTCGGGTTTCGCCAATAAAGAAACTGTTTTGATTTAATGTACACAAAGGCAGCTGCAGATTAGGGTTTAGGGTTTAAGCTTTGCCTTCAAGTTGAGCTCTCCCTGTACAAGATTTACTTTTTAAAGAAATGGATTTTTTTCTATATATAAAAATAAGGGTATATTACCTATAAACCCCAAACTTATGTTGTATCAATTTCATCCTCATTAATTTTTTTATCCTAACTATCATTCCAACCTCCCATCAATTAGAGAGGTCATCCCCACCAACAGATTCTTCCAAAACTTGTTAAGGTGTTGTAAAAACAATCTTACCCTTGAATTTTAATTTAAAAAAATTATAAATAGAAAAGAAGAAAATTTTTTAAAAAAAATTAAAAAAACGTTCTTCTTCGTAATGACCCACACATAGCCCACCCTAAAACCAAACGACCCATCACACTGTTAGTGTTGCCACCAACAATCACCACCCCACCAATATCTAAAACCATTTAAAAAGCAAATTCTTATGGGGGAACAATCATGCTTCATGTATGGATGGGGGTTCACAGAACCCCCACAGATAACACATATTCGGGGAGGGTGGATAATTTTTTTCTACTTTTTTATGTGGGTCTCACACCTCATGTGAGATGGTGTAAGGGTTCTATGAACCTCTACCCCTGTACAGAGGGATTAATCCTATGGGGAAATAAAAGTCGTCTTAAACCTTTCACGCTATTAGTGGAGCATTCTTATTCCTAACGTTTCAATTTTATCGTATCCTTCTACATTTTCCATTCAGTAACTATTAAAATAGCATGTATTAAAGTATGAGAAGCAAAACTCGATTTGGGATTGGTTGTAATGAGAATTCAAATTTTGATAACAACAAACAAATGCAATGAAAAGAACTGTGATATCTTTTAACAAGGTAGTTATATTATTTTTTGAAAAAGAAAAGTTTGACCAACAATTTCAACTCACGATAGGGCTAATTGCCTCGAAGTAGGATCGGATTAGAAAAATCGCAGCCCGTTAAACCAAATTGTCTTGACTCGTATTAGGTCGGGTCAATTCTGAAATTATTTTAGGTTGGGTCGGGTGAAACTATTTTAAAATTATTATGGGTGTATTCATACCCTTCCTTATTGGACCTAACTCAATGAAAAAGTGAAACCTTATTTTCATTTGAAGCGACGCATTGCAGAGAGTCAAAGACCATTCTTCTTTGATCTATGTGTTGCCTGCCATCGATCTGAAAGACGCCCATAATTCTTGCTCATTTCAAGCTTGCAAGTTCTTCTCCTTCATCTTTGTGTATTTTTTGATATAAAAAGTTTTAATTCTTTTCCCTTTTTTACTGTGTGCAAATCATATCGGTATATATATGAACTTGTATCTACATATTGGTTAATGATATTGTAACTAATATTGTAGGGTTCAGTTGGAACATTAGGATTTCTTATGAGACATTGCTCGATGCTAAGGTATCATGCGCTGACAGATCTGTCATTTTTGGTTAAAGTTGGAAAAGAGGTTTGTTTGAGTTTTTGTAACTGAGGACATGGTCTAATGTATATAGTTTAAATATATATGTATGTATCAAACAAGGAAACTGCTTAATATATTATAAAGGAACTACTTAACCAATTAATTCAGTTTTTTTCTGATATTAATTTGAGTACTCGAGGGTTTATTTGGAAGTTTTATTATAGCCCTTGTTTAAGTCACATTATTTTTTTCATTCTCATTCTTCTATTTATTTTCTACCACACATTTTTCAATAAAATAATATTTCTCATCACAGCAATAACTTTTTCTTCAATTTTAACCACACATTTTCCATCAATCTACTATTCAATAATACATTCTTTCAAAAGAATGTGTCCCAAACACACTCTTATTATACGACTATTGAAAGCATGGCGCCAAATTTAACCCGATTTATTACACAACTACCGAAGCCAAAATTTAACAAGATTTATAACACGATTTCTAACAACTTGGCGCCAGATTTTAACAAGATTTATTAGACGACTACTTTGTAGCATTCTTCTAATATTGACGATTGAAGAGAGCGATCTAATGTCGTATTAGAATATCCTCCTATGTCAAATATTACCACCTTTCATTTATGAAAAATGAAATTATTTTTTTTTTTT